AATTACTTTCATTATTCACATGTATCTTTATCCTGCAATAACCCAACCAATACGCTAAACTAAGGGCTGCACCTATCACAGAGACCATGTGAAAAGCTAATCACTAAAATATACAGATGTCCATCCCAAGGGAAAAAGCTTCCTTAGATTACCCATGACAATTTATATAAATACAATAAAATATTTTGGTAAATGGTGATGGCTGAATGTGAATGCATGGAGGGAAGGAGAGGGAGATAATTATTAACTAATACTGGTTCTTACGTATCAAGGTGCATGGATTTCAGATGATGGCACCTACCTACTTTACATGTAACATCGTCTTAAGGCTATTTTTTAAATAAAAATGCTTTCCATGACTACCCCACATGAAGCTGAAAGGCTGTAAAAGCCTTTTTTGAATGTTAACAGTGATGCACAGCCACTACCATGTGAAGGTGTATTCATGTTTTGGAACAATACACACTTCCACTACCTACTGACTTAGCAAGATCAACCAAGAGGCCTACTAAGAATTGTTACTAACTCATTTATTCACTTTGAAACAATCCTCACAAGTGCCAAAACTTCATTAAAAATAAGTAATATTTTTGTAAGAACTGTCACAAGTGCAAAGATGGTCAACACTCAAAAAAGTAAGATACGACGCCAAACCTGAGTTTTCATAATTGAATGGTTTTCTCTCCTCCCACAGCCACATAATATATGAACTTCTTTCTTACCACTTCCCCAAGAGAGGCAGCCACCATGTGTGTTGCTGGAGTCAAGTAAGACGTAGAGCCATGGTGCAGCATGGATTTCATATTCTCATAGGTGATAAAAAATGCAGCAGCTGAAATTCAAGAATACATGCAGTCATTTAACTGTTCCTCCATCACAGAACTAGCACAAAAACATTTAGAGGTGGATTTTGTCACCTATTATTCTGCAACTGTAGTTGAAAACAGGATATTTTTGCCCCAAAACAGTACAACAGTATCAACACAATCTGTGGGATAATTCCTTCAGACATTCATGCTCCTGGCTGTCACTCACAAACCTCACATTAATATCAAATGGGTCTTAAGGCATCAGGACTTAAGGCCATATTTAGTATTGAGATAAGGAAAGATGTGTTAATTAGTCACGAATGTCCAGTAGGTTTTGAAAAAAATAGTATCTTCCATATTCATAGATAGAAGGGTAGAGAGGAGGTCGTTTGGTTGAATTGGATGGATGGTCTTGTCTTCATTATTTGGGGGAAAAAAAAAAAACAAACAACAAAAAACAGAACACCCAAATCAGTTGATTAATTGAAAAAACAAACAAACAAAAAAAACCCCAAACTCATCAAGGTACTTGATACAAGTCTGCTACCATGCAATGTGCAAAACTGTTTCAGTAGCAGTTATTAATAACTTCTTCCTAGCTATCATCAGTTTAATATTTTGCACTTTAGCTCCATAAAAAAATTCTTCCCAGCTTCTGAAGGACTCATAAAAGTCCTGTCCAGTGAACATACAAGAAACATACAAAACTAAACTGAGCATAGCAACATGAGCTGTGTTTATTCACTGCAACAGTCAACTACAAAGGCACTTGCACCTTAAGGGTTACCCCTCTCCTAAAGGTAATTTCAGTTCTCAGTCATACGTTGGAAAGATAAAACCACAGTTCAGATTTTGAAGATGTAAATCCTGAAAAAAATGACGTCTTGCGGGGGAACAGATTTTAATTGTAAAGAAGGGCTATGTGAATTGCCTTCTGCTAATCAAAAGATGCTTATCACCTCAAAAGGAGATAAGAGAGCAGACGAGATAAAGAACTGAATTTTTTATATCATCTTATGAAGGACATCAAACATCTGAAGGTGTCAGTGGATTTGTCAGTAAGGTTCTCCTAACATTTACTACCGACAGCATAGCTTGCTGCTTTTTTATCCCTCCCTACAAAGACAAAATGGACAAAGGCATTAGGAATTTTAGATGCCTTTTCTCTGCAGGGACTACAAGCATTTACTTTTTTAAATCTTCAGTTTGACAAGTATTCCTGATGTCTTCTCATTTTAAGTGTTGTAGTTGTTTCCTGGGAGAAAAAGATGAGCATAGCATCCCCAGGGCAACTAGCTCAAACACCTCCAGTGCTCAAGCACTCGAATTTTGATTCATTTCCAATGCCATGGAAGAGTGGGTCATGACAAAAGTGTCCAGGGCAAGCAAGACTCAAGCCATCTTTGGCACCTGGAAATGCTTTAGGGTGCCCCTATTACTAATGACAGGCTTATAAGACATATTCAGGAGTGCTTCCAAGGAGTAAGGGTTGCTTTTCAGAGTAAACATGCAGCAGCCTGCATTCCAGGCTTGCTCAAAGAGTTTGTTCCATACTGTACAATTCTAGAAACTGCTCTTCACAGCTGGACATGGACTCACAGAATCCAAACAGCCACCTGCAGGAGAGGAAGCCACGGACATGAATGTCCTACACTACATAAGTTCCCACTTAAAGATGACAAAGCATAATCCAAAGAAAAATTTACCATTTGGAAAGGATGCTATAGCCGTGGAAGGAACACCTGCATAGATGCCACGAAAACCACCAGCATTCCTAAATCCTTGAGGACTCTGCAGTCTTGTTTTTACAGTATCCAAGGGAAAAAGGATCAAGTCAACACAGACACCAGCAACTCCACCAGCCTTCAAGACAAAACCATGGAGTAAAGTGCATTAATATTCACAGGGGTGAAGCTGTGGTGCTTATGTGAGTAACTGAGGCATGCCTAAACCAAAGCACTACTGACCGTATCCCTTCTGAGATCAAATTATAAACTGATAGCCTTACACAGACCTCAATAGCTTCTATAGCTATAACAAGGAAGCTTCAACAAAAGAGAGAAAGTAATAGATATTACAACTTTTAAACCATTTTTAAGGTATTTTCAAAACAATCTCAGTGTTTTGAATAGTACAAGCAAAGCAATGCAACACTTACCCACTACACATAAAAGCAAGACAGTGAATGCCACTTATCAAGATGATACAGCACAGAATGACCAACACCTCTAGGAAGTTGTGTGATAAGATCAGGGAAAGACAGAAGCAATTCTGCTTCTGCTGTAAGCATCTCTAGACAGCACATGCGCATTTTTCTAGCAAACTTCTTCATTTAAAGTGTTACCCTCTCATTTTATTTGTTGAACAAAGCCTGAAGTAAAACTGCTTTATTTTCTTTTGCTGACAAAAGCCTATAGGAAAAAAAAAAAATCATATTAAATAAAGATGTTTTCAAAGTCATAAGGAAAAGGGGAAGGCTTTTATCCAAATCAATTCTTAAAACCAAACCCTAAAATATAGTTTCAACTAAAGCTCAATCTAAAGCTCCATTGTCTGTGTTTCTATATTACTTTTTTTGTTGTTTTTAAGTTTCCCTAGGGCATGCCTGATCTGTAGAAAAGAATTACTTGTCAAAAACAGGGGGAGGAGACTGAAATAAATAGAAAAACTCATTTCAAAAAAAGAAAAGAAAAAAATATCAATAGTTAGCATTAATCCATTATAAGACATTATTTAGATGCACTGTTATTCAGAACAGAAAACATAGTTTGAAGTCTACCTCATACAGAACTGCACACAAGAAACAGCTGCATGGCTTTTTAACTCTCCCTGAAAACAAATCACATGTGTGTTACTCTGATTTTTTTTTTTCAGAGCCAACAGAGAATTCACAGAGGTGTTTGCTATCTACTACTAAAGTTTTAATCAATAAGTTAATTACTCTTTTAATCTAGTTGGCTATTTTGCATGCATTGATTTTTCTTCACTCTTTTTCATCAAAATCCTTATCTGCTCAAAATAACATTGATCAGATTTAATCAGATTTAATCTAGCCATCTGTTAAAACATGAATCAAAAGTTACTAATTGCTTCTTTAGTTTTCAAAGTTTTGTATCTTAAATGTCATTTAAATTCATGAAGCAGCTAATAGAGCACCTGCCAGAGGGCGACAATACCTGTGTGCTTACGCCATCTGCAGCAAAATAGTAATGATTTTTGGATAATAAGACAACCAAAACGCACCTTCTCCCCCACCTTATAGTAACAGTAGCATTATCAGAGGTCGAACAGCTGAAAAACCTTTACCAGGAGTTGGACATACTCCTTAAACTTAACTCCAGCAAAAAGATTAAAAAAAACTAGGACCTAATCCAAATACATTGAACCATGATCTTGTGGATGGCAGCCGACTGCCCCTGGAGTATTTGAGGCAGGGAGCTGAACTCTCCCAGCAGGCGCAGGCCTGCAGCTCTCCTCACGCTAGCCCAGAGCAGCGTGTCGGTGCTTTTCCACACAGAACCGGGAGCGAGTGCTGGGTATTTCCAAGGAGGTCCCTAGCTATGGAGACTGGGAGCTTTACCCACTTGCATGCGACACTGCTGGGAGTACACGTTGAAAAGTAGCTTTTGGGGCGGGAACTGCAGCGCAAAGCACACACTTCACCGCCCGCACACGCAACAGCAACGGCTGGGC